AAAAAAAAAAAAAAAGGTATGAATAATCAATTAACAATAACAGTAGTACTAGTGTTTCCAATATTATGTTGAGTTCCTCTATTGTCTGTCTAAAAGTAAAAACAGACATCCCATGATTATTTCACTTTGTCGGGACAATCCATATATTATATTATGCCTGCACATTTGTATTTTTCGGTTTATGAAATTTTGCTTCACACATTATTCTTAATCCAATAACTGAAATTTAAAGCATATATATGAGTATATTTATGTATGTATGCATGCATAAGGGCCTCATGTGAAGAAACACTACAGAGGCGTGAGGCAAAGGCCTTGGGGCAAGTGGGCCGCCGAAATACGAGACCCCAAGAAGGCGGCCCGCGTTTGGCTCGGAACTTTCGACACCGCCGAGGAAGCAGCCCTCGCGTACGACAACGCGGCTCTCGAGTTCAAAGGATCCAAAGCCAAACTCAATTTCCCCGAAAGAGTCCAACCTGGCAACAATATAAGCGCATCTCCTCATGAACCGAACCCCTCGTCGATGCTAAACTCTTTTCCGGGTCTCGAGCAGTATGCACAATTGCTATCTAGCACCGATGATGCCGATTTTCCTTATTTCAATTCCGGATTATACACGAGCACTAGTACTGGCGATGTTCACAATCAGCAGTTATTAGGCTACGAAAAATACTCATCCGTTTCAATGATGTCGCCACCTAATCAAGAAGACAATCAGCAGTATGGAAATTTTTCAGCCGCCAGCTTGGGTTATACAACTTACTTCAGCAACTACTCTGATCCTAGCAACTCCAATGGATGACTTAGCTAGCTATGTTTCTTAATTGAATTAAAAGCTTGCTTTCTTTATAATGTGTTTGATTTGTCAGTGAAATTTAACTTCATATACTATTTGGAATGTAATTAAGTACGTACCTCGACTTTAATCCAGCTTGTGTTCTTGTTCAACTCAGCTTTGTGGCAACATCCATCTCCAGTTGTGGCTTTTGACTTCTACAAGTGTATGATAGCGTTTAACTATATCACGAGGAGGAGTACACAATAAAAGCAGAAAATATTGAAAATCATGCATATAATATGCAGACGAGTGCCTATATATCATCTTACATGTATTTAAGTACTACAAATCAAAAGTTCAAAACACACACACATATATATGCACCAAGCATCAGAGGAAAATACACCAGCTCTGAAACTAGTAAAATCCAGAATTATGTTTTTAGATAAAACAACTCCATTGGCAGTACACACATATATGATGTGGGGCATTTTTTTACATGATCAAGCTTGAAATCCACTGGTCTTTTTATGGCTCCAAGAGCATTTTTCTCAGCTCATGATTCTTTCCAGCAAGACAATCAGAGCTAACCAGCGAATTTATCCAGATTTGGTCTGATTTAACTGGTTCATCATCATCATTTCTGTGCCAACTCCAATACGCATGAGTTGAGTTCACGATTCTGAGCTCACCATGACCAAAGCTGGCCTCCCGGAAGACTGACCACTCAGGCTGGGACTTCTTGTACCTGTCATATATCATCATTTTACTATATGATTAATTGCAGAGGATCCAATATAAAGCATGGTGCCACATTAGAGCATGCCTAAAGACAAAAGCTTTCTATTCCAATTCATACTATTATCGGCTCAATTTATTTTATAGCTCATATTATTTGGAAATGGCTCTGGATTTGTCGTGATACTTGTTAATAACAAGGAAAGAGCTTACCAGGGTGCTAATCCTTCTCTGTTCCCTCCATCACCAATCGTAATGTGGACAGCTCCACAAGGATCTGATCTACTGTTAAAAACACGCTTCTGTTGGGGAAAAACATAAAAAGAAAATAAAAAATAAGTGCAGTTCTCATAAGGTCAAAGACTAGAATACAAAAGAAAACATACCGAGCGCTCATAGGCGTGCACATGGCCAGCAAACACAACATCCACACCAGCAGCATAAAGCAAGGGTTCCATTGCTGTCATCATGTCATCACCTTCACCTTGATGAGCTGCATTGCTGTTATACCATGGAACATGGAATAGTACCAAAATCCAGGGTGTCATCTTGCGATCCACCTTTGACAGGTCAGCCTAATCAGGGTTCAACAGCAAGCAAAAGCAGCTTTATCAGCAAAGTCGTGCATCCAATAAAGTCAAATTTCAGTCACAAGCACTGAGCAAATCATATATATTCATTAATAAAGCCTTCATTCGAAATATAGAAAGTTAAATACATATCATTAGAATTCTGAATAACAAGTTCTATCACTAGACACATATCGTGAGAAGAGATTATCACGAACTACAGAAAATAGGGTGCTCATCAAACCTTTAGCCACCCATACTGATCAGAGTACTCGTCGTAATCCGTATATGAACCAAGCATCACAATGTGAACTCCAGCCACATCAAACGAATAATACAGGTTCGAACTCGAGTTGCTCTCTTCATACGGCATTCTCCACCTAGAATTGTAAGACACAAAACCATCTACGAGAAATGGTATGTTCTCCTTCTCATGGTTCCCCTGTGTCACCATCCACGGCCTCTCACTTGCAAGTGGCTGCACCAGCTCGCCAAACGTATCCCACTTGTGCTGCATGTAATCAGCATATGACAGGTCACCGGGCAGCAAGTGAACATCATATTTGCATTGTTGGATGTGGTCCAGAGTTGACTTGGTCCATTCAGTCTGGCCTAAGTCTCCAGCCACAGCAAATGTAACCGGGAATTTGGCGGGCGGGGTTTTGAGCTGGAACTCAGGACCTTCTCCCCCACATCGATAAAAATACAAGGTGTCATCTTCGAGAGGGCCAATCACAGTGTGATGAATCTTCCCCGAACTGTAGAGGAAATAGCTATAGCTCGTATACTGTCCTTGGGCCGTCCATCTGTAGTTGTTGGGAGAAGTTCCGTACTCAACAATGGTGGGGGCATGTTTATCGCTAGTCACCCATGTGATGCGCATGTGTTTAGCTCCAGCCAAGGATATGTGAACCTGCAGTTACAATAAAAAAAGTTGAGAACATCAGCTCTAGAGGTACACTATCGCTCATAACAAAAATTCCCCAAACTCAAGAATTGACAGTGTACAATCTAAACATTGGTATGTAAATTTACCAAATTACGCATAGTATTCTGTACAAGATCATCGAACCAAAACCTCACAAGAATTTACTCTTTCTGGTGGAACACTAGACTAGGTATTAGTTTGTTTAGGCAACAACCTTCAGCCGAAGCTAAACTAATTCTCTCAATAGATAATAAATCGATAATCTTGGTAAATCAAAAAACAGAGAAACCTAAGCAGACCCAACATACGAACTCTCCGCATCACGACTCAAGCAAATCACAACTACGAATCACAAGTACTCACCTGCTCGGGATAAGAAGAAGGCTTGGGGGACCATGGAAAATGAAGGGTTTTGCGGGGCGGCGGCCTGACGTAATCAGCAGCGGCACCGACGGCAAGTAGTAAGAGCAAGGACGCCACCAAATCAAGCTTTGACTCCATGGTTGATTATTCTTCACCTACCTGGATGATTTACCGTGCATATTTTAGTTATACTGTATAGCTAATAAGGAAATTTCAGAGGGGATGGAAATGCGTCAATCACAGATTGGTCTTCATCATTTATTATTTAATTATTGTGTGTGTGTGTGTGTTTTTTTTGGTTGGATTGGATTACCTATTTTCTTGTCTCTTTTTGTTCTTTTTGTGCTATAGTTCCGTTACAGAATTATTTATTTGGAGTTTGTAATCGTTAGATTATCATATAACCATCAGGAATAATTAATTTTAACTGTTGTAGACCTCGATGAAATATTTCCGTAACGACATCACGACATCTTCCATTATTTACCTCTAATTTTCACTTTTATCATTTTTTTATTTGACTTTTTAACTCTTATTCGATTCCTTTAGATACGTACACGAGGTGAGCTCGACTAGATAATACATAGCAAAAGACAAATGCAAATTCCTTTTTTTTTTTT